GGCGACAAAGTGAAATGTCCTAAAAACCTGATCTCTGTAGTGTTTCTGCTGGCATGCCAGAGATCACTTTAAATTTTATTTTGCTTCCAATACACTAATTGAATACAGCAGAGCGGAACAGCAGGAGATAGAAACAGAGCACAGTGAGTCCTGACAAAGATTTTTCTCTAGAGGCAAGCATTCAATTAACATCCCTTGTTAGACAGCAAAAACTAAGTACCCTGAAGCTATCTGTCACTTATTTGTTATTTCCCTGAAAACTAGAATTTCTACAGTTTTGGGGCTGTACAGTTTCAAAATCCCATTGACTTGACGTTTGTCACCTAGCTAGATGGTCAGTTGATGTTTGATTGAATTGGTACTTCAAAGCAAAGTGGTAAAATGGCAATTATTCCTCATTCAGAAATTTTGTACAGATGCATTTTTGCATTTATAATCTCACTGCAAAAATTGGTAGTATGCACTGTCAGTATATGTACATGTATTAATACACACACACACACAAGTACATACATACATACATACATATATACATACATAAGAACATTGGAGCATAATATTTTTCTCCTCATTAGAAGCCTTAAGCAGAAGCTAGGCACATATTCGAAACAAGTATTTGCAAGACTTGGACTAGTCCATTTAGGTCCCTTCAAACTTTAAGGTACTTTGTTTTTAAATATTCTTATAAAATAATAATTTATTTCCTAAAACTTTAAAAAAAAACTTTGGAAAGCAATATCTGGAAAATTTATTCACTAAAGTTTATGTGTAATGAAATACCATAAGATTTATGGGAAATCTCTTCCATTAAAGAAAATATTTTGTAGCTGAAAATATATTTGATCTCAAATTTTCCAAATTATGTTGTATTGTATAATAGCATATTTGGAGACGTGGAACATCTCAGGATAGGACTATAAATCTGAGTGGATTTTTTTCTACGATGGGAAGGCCCTAGTAATTTTTTGTATTTTTCATTACTCTTCTTTAAAATTCATAGGTAACATATATTAATTGACAAATAACAGAGTTACTGATATTTATATAGACCTTTTCCTACAGTGCGTCCTTCTGATTTACTCAGCAAATCTATATCCACTTAACTGGGATTTAACCCCTATTGATCTCATGACAAGGTTTTTAATATGTTTTCTTTTTCTTCCTGGAGAATCCTGGCCATGTGAATAAGCTTCATGCTAACACTCTACTTCCATCTAGCCCCATCCATATGAATTAACACTGTTATTTAAAAAAGATTATCTGGGGGGATTATTACTGAAATATGAGTCCATTGGTTTCTAGAGACTGGACACTAAAGCATATGCTGAATAGTTATGAGAACTGGGTATATCCAGTCTAACAAAGAGAAGGACTAGGGGTGTTATGATAGCAATCCTCAAATATTTGAGGGGTTATCGCAGAGAAGAAGGGGGTCAATCTGTTCTTCAAAGTAGCTAAGGGCAGGATAAGAAGTAACAGATGGAAACTTATCAAAGAGAGATCCAATTTTGACTTAAGGAGACATTTCCAGTCAGTGGACTAGAAATTAACAGTCAATTCATCAGTGTAACAACTTGCCTCCAGAAGTTGTGGATCCTCCATCACTGAAGGATCCATCAAGTCCACTGGGGTTGGACTAGAAGACCTCCAAGGTGCCTTCCAACTCTGTTATTATATTATTCTATTCTTCTGTTATTTGAAACAACACATTGAGCATAAGAGAAGTAAAGTGAACTTATTGAAATAAAATAACCACTGAGGCTTTGTAATTCTGATTGCATTTTGAAAGCCATTTTTAGTTTTTAGTTTTAACAGTGTTTTAAAATGACTTAGTTTCTAATTTGACTTTTGGATTATCTGAACTTCAAATAACTGCTTTTAATAGCTAAGACTTTTTGAACTCACGAGACTTCCTTGAAATACCTGTCTCTTTCAGAGCCCCAAGTCTTTTTAAGTTAGACCCATTACAATTTTCTATACTACAGATAATCTCCTATAATGTCAGAACAAAAAATTAACATTTTGTTTCTTAGTCAAAAAAAATAAGCTAAAAACCTGCTGGGTACATTTTCTCTTGTTGCTGCTCTTGTTTGTTTTGTTATTATTAGATTGTACAACTTTTGCTCTCCGTGAAAACAATAAGTCTTCTTGTTTTGAAAGCTTTAGGAGTTATGAAAATTTAACATAGGTTACCATATACTTTATTCTCTTGTTACAATCCAACAGGTCCTCTGAAATCTAGACTCTTGAAAACAGATTTGAGAGGGAAGCCCTGCCGTTAAGTCTCAATCATATGACTGTGTTAATATTTTCAAGTACAGTCTACTCAGTTACAGTCCTTCTCTTGTAAGTGATACAGGTCCCATGCAGTGATAATACTAATATAAACATACTCAATGGAAAGAGCAGGAAAAGGGGATTTGTTTTAAAAAAGAAGAAGGAAAGCAATATATTCAGTAGTTGATAAAAGATCAGGATAGGGAGAGAAATCCAGTTTTATCTGTTGAAAAGTAAAAGATGAATGCACATAGGAATCAAATATATACCTGCAATGAGGGGTCCTTGATGCTCTCTTAGCTTGCTTGTTTTCTTGCAGATAACATCATCAGTGCTAGTAGGACTGCTGTTTGCTGTCAGTTTATATTCTGGTACCTTGCCTGTCTGTGTGGGTGGGGGTGGTCTTAGAGATTCTCTGGTTGGTCTGTTTACTCATGGCTCCTTGGCAGTTCCTTGATTGGGATATTGCTTACTTCATTGTTGGTCTGAAGTTAACCTTGGAGTTAATCTATGCTGATCTGGGTGCTGATTCCTGGTGGAGAAGCACTGGAGTCTTTTTCTGGGCTGGGGGCTGGTTGATTATCACTTTTGCAGAGTCTGTAGATGTTGTTAATGTCTATGTGTCTATCGATGGCTGATTTGTCAGACTTCTAGAAATTCCCTGGCATTTTTGGACTTGGCTTGGTCTAGGATGGTCACATTTTCCCAATTGAAACTATGGTTAAATCTGTCTATATGTAGTGAAATTGAAGAATTCCCATCATGTCTTCTGACTGCCAGTTGGTGTTCATGAATGCGTTCTGCCAGTCTTCTGCCTGCTTGTCCTCGCAGTGGTTCTTGCAGTTCCTACATTGTATGTTGTATGACTCCTGGGTTTTTTTCCCCTGTGGTTGCTAGGTCTTTTGGTTTGCTTAAGATGTTTTGAATATACCTGCAAAAATCAAATTGCTAAAGCTCTTCATTACTGGCACATATACCGTATTTTTCGGAGTATAAGATGTTCTGGAGTATAAGACTCACTTTAGTTTTTGGGGAGGAAAATAAGAAAAAAAATCTGTCTTTGCCTACCAGCATCTATTGATATTCATCTGACTAGCGTCCTGTTAGAGTGTGAGAGAGTTGTGGGCTGTTTGGAAACTGAAACAATATTTGCTGTGTGAGCAAAAAGGAGACAGCAAGGAGCCTGGGCATGACTTAGCTCAACTGTTCTGTACTAAAGCTGCATGCTGCTCTGAAACTAAAACTGAAACTCCTCTCCTCTGCTTGTGTTTTGCTTGTATTTACTACCATGTAGGAAAACCTGCTTTTGGTATTGTATATTTACTTCATGTGTTATATTATATATAAAGAGAAGTTATTGAATCCTGCTGAATCAGTTACTTGTGTGTGCTTTCTGGATGTGATTGCTGCTGCAAACTCTGACATGTCCTTGCAGCGAACAACCAGGTCAGCTTCAGCACATTATTGCAGCCTGATTCAGCAGGAGCAGCTGATTGGCGGGTGGATCAGCCTCCTGGAATAGCCCCAATCAACTGTTCCAGGCTGCAAGGATTGCACAGACCATTGCCACATCCGTGCCTCGCGTTTTTGGCCTTGTGGGCAGGGCTACATTCGGTGTATAAGACGCTCCCAAATTTTCACTCTCTTTTGGGCAGGGGGTGGGGGGAGTGTGTTTTATACTCCGAAAAATATGTTTTCTTATCTTTGCATTAAGGTAAAACATCAACATTTATATATGTTATTTCCCAGCACAATTGCTTATCCAGCAGCATCAAATGTGTCTGTGTGTATGTCAAAATAGTCAGGATGGCAATTGTGGTACAATCAAAGCTCTCCCCTTTTCTATTTATATAACAACATTTGTACACGAGGCAGAGGGATCTGATTATATGATCACAAGATTCCTATGATCTTATTCCAAAGATTGGCATTGAGTATTTTTAATTTTTTCCCCCCTACTTAAAAGAATAGTCATAAAGAGCACTTTCCATGCAGCATGTGGAACTCATGTATGTCAGAGTGCTTACAGTGTGACTACTATTTTGAGACAATCCAGGAGCAAAATACATCACACAGCGGTTTGTCTTACAAACAGTGGTTTATCTACAAGTTATCTACAGTATATATACACGTGCTAAGCAAATCCAGGCAATCAGTCTTCTTCAACTCTACATGGAGAACTACAATGCAGATACATGTGATGAGGAAAGTGATACACGAAGAGAGAAAGAGAGAGAGACGCCCTCTAATGGCGTCCCTTATATAGACAGCTTCTTAAAGGGCAATAACCCTGCTGACTCATCCTCGATTTTAGAGGGCTGGTCAGCTTTAAATCATCATTACTCTGACAATGTATTTCTTGCCTATCCATCTCTGGACAAGAGGAAATTAGAAACTTCTGTGTTTGAGTTACTTGATGCTTGCCTGGCTTCCAATCTCAGTGTTGTATGACTTACTGAAAAACAAAAACAACTTCAAATCATAATGCACAATTTCAACATTATAATTAAAATTAGCCAGAGATTACCATTTGGCCTCAGTGTCTAAGTAAGTTTCTTCTTTCTCCCTAGAGACATGATAGTGAAGAAGAGGGAGGGCCAAGAATTACACATGCAATTACTGAATCGTCATCAAAATGTATGCTGGAGAGAGGGAAAAAATGCATGAAATGCAAACTGATCTTTGTCTCTTTTTTTTTTCTTCTTCTCTTTCCTCCTGAATAGCACGCATTATTAAAACAAAACAATGGTGTGAAATGCTTCCATGTTTAGAAGGAGAAGGCTGTGATTTGCTAATCAATAGATCAGGCTGGACCTGTACACAACCCGGTGGGAGAATAAAGACAACCACGGTGAGTTTTCTTGCTTCTTGCAATCCTTTGGGTAGAAAAAGTGATCCATTGGGTATGAAAAAGCAACAAAAAGTAAAAGATTAAGCTGCTTCAGAATAAAATATCATTAATACTATAATAAAATCATAGCCATAATTCTCTTATTTAGATATCCTTGATTGCAATCTGACTCATTAGGCATGGTGGAGAAACTTCTTTATTTGATACTGTAAGTGCTCGTAATCAGGACCACAGCTCAAAATTACAGAAAATTCAAATTGTGGCAGCGGGAAATCTGTACAACTTAAAACCTTGGGAGCAAATGACACCAAATTTACATGAACAGTTGCTCATTGATTGTGCCCAGAGGCTGTCTTCTCTGTAAAGTGAATTGTTTCTTAAGATAGCACCAGTGATTTATTTGACACTATTTGTTATCAGTTTATTTTTTTATGAGAAACTAGAGATCAAAAAAATTTATTTCAATAAGACTGTTTCTCAAAACTCTCAACATTTAGCAAAGACAAATTTGTTCTGCTGGTTTCTGCTCTTTTAATTGTTGACATATTTAATTAAATGTTTAACAAGCTTTCATGATGGTTTTGATATTTTTATTTTTATTGCAAATTGCTTGGAGTGCCATCTGATAGATAATATAAAAACAAATATAAATATAAAAAGGAAATGTACACGAATAAGTATTAGATCAAGAAAGACATTTTGGGGAAATAAATATTGTAGTATCAAAGGTAGATAGCAGAAATCGTGTTCTGAGTGATAGAACTGACAGTCATTTAACTGTCTTTATACTTTTTCCAACATGAATGTGTCTGTTAGTCAGATGGTTATTCAGTCTAAGTAACTTACAAAATTTAGCATCTCAAAAACAGAACAATTTTCATTATCAAACTGGGAAATCTATTTGGCATGTACATTCTTTGATTCTAATTGTCTGTATTTCTGGTCCAATTGATTTCCAAGTCACATTTTGCCATAAAACTAGTCAATCTCCTAGTATCTCAATTATGTGAAGACAAATCAAAACTCCAGTTTTTTAAACAATTTTTTGTACTTCGCCTATTATTTGCGACAGACAAATTAAACACAATAAAAGTATCCAGGAATCAACTCTGCATGTTCCATTCAGAATTTGGGAGCAATTCTTCTCCTTTCCTAGGTACGTTGGTGAAAGGCCATCTCCATGTTCACAGTAATGATTCTACAGAGGAACTTATTTTTTCATGCGATGGAACTGGAATCCTGTGGTTAGGAAGGGAGAAAGTTTGTTCACTGCTTTTCTCATATTGGAGTACACACATGAAGAACAGACTATTATTATTTAGTAATGTATTATTATTTTTTAACAAATAACCAACTTTGTTTGAATCAGTTGGGAGAGGTTTGTAATGTGTAAATAAAAGTTGGTAATGACAAACTACCCATTGCATTTGGTTTATTTGTTGATAAGGATGATCAAATTTGCAAATTGTCATTATAAACTATATGAAAGAAATGTGGGATTTAAAAAAACAACAGTGTGGCAGGAAGTAAAATAGGCTTATCTGTTTGATGAAGCTTATATCTGAATTACAGTGCAATACTTACCTTAATTTTTTTATAGTTTAGTGTTACTATAATTTTTTTAAAAAAAAATAACATCTGGTTATAAATGTCATTGCAAAAGGCATGACATTTTTTAAAATATTGTGATTAAGTTTTGTACCCCTTCTGTAGAGCTGAAAAAGCTCTGTACAACATTTTATATAGGAATGGTAAAAATACATCCGTGCTTTACTGAGCTTAGAGGTTCAACTATGGCTGTGGAAAGCTTTTTCAAGAAGTAGGCACATAATCCATCAGGACCAATAGATAGAGATGGCTTTAGGTTGTGTAGTGCTGCTTCAACGTTATCTTCCGTAAAATCAATATGTAGCAGATCGTTCCAATTAGTTGTGGTACGGCTAGGAAATGTGGGGCACCAGCAGGGGTGAAATCCAGCAGGTTCTGGAGAACTGGTAGCGGAAATTTTGAGTAGTTCGGAGAACCAGCAAATACCACCTCTGGCTGGCCCCAGAGTGGGGTGGGAATGGAGATTTTGCAGTAACCTTCCCCTGCAGTGGGGTGGGAATGGAGATTTTGCAGTATCCTTTCCCTGGAGTGAGGTGGAAATGGAGATTTTGCAGTATCCTGCCCTTGGAGTAGGGTGGAAATGGAGATTTTGCAGTATCTTTCCCCTGCCACACCCAACAAGCCACACCCAACAAGCCACACCACACCCAACAAGCCACGCCCACAGAACTGATAGTAAAAAAACTTGAATTTGACCACTGGGCAGCAGCCATTGCTGTTGACAAAGACTGATCTGAAGAACATGTTGAAGAGGTTGGCCGTAATGGTTTCATCATTACAGTCTTCCCCGTTAGGCCTTTTTAGGGGTGGGATAGTTTTCGAGTCTTTAAGTTTGGCGTTTACGAAATTATAGAAGGCTCAGGTGTATTTCGAGTGTAACAGCTCTTCCTCCTGTTTGCAATGGTAATTGGTGCATTCTGCCTTTATTATAACTGTGACTTACATGAGCCAAAAGAAAATAGAGGAGAACGACAAGGAAAATCCAGACACCTGTTCTTAAAATTATAGTAATAGCATTTCTTATAATAACTATCTGGAACAGAAAAGGTTCAAGGACTGGAGATGCCAATAGTGACTGGCTTCTCTGTTCTCAAGAGCTGTTGAAGTTAATATAGCTGCTGTGGCCTACAGGTGGACCTCTTGTCTCACAATCAGGAGGTTGTGAGTTTGATCCTAGGTAGAAGCAGATGTAGGGTCTCCTGCTTGGGCAGGGGGTTGGACTAGATGACCTGCAAGGTCCCTTCCAACTCTGTTAATCTGTTAAGTAACACTTGTTTTCCATCTCCTCTGCATCTCGGAATGGGCTCTAGAAGGTAGAGTCTCAAGGAAATTAGCTTTGCTTCTCATCTCTGCAACCGTATGGCCCAACATTGAAGTGCCATTATTCAAGACTGAATTTAATTGGTTATTTATGTGTATTCTTCTTCAGAGCAAATGTTAATTTCTTATAAACGCTGTGGAAATTAACAATGTACACAACTTCTATATATCTAGGGTGGTTTTTTTTACTTAATTTCACACATAATTTTAAAGAACTATTAAAATCATGTTCATGCTCATTATTTTATATGTAACATGTGAAAGAGAATTAGAAATAACTCCATCCAATGTCAGGTTTTCATTCTCAGGAACAACAATTGAACTGCAAACATTTTTATACCTCTCATTGAAGTAAGAGCCAGTTATCATTTTTGATTTTTGGATTAAAAGATAGCTGTCTAAACTACCCCTTCTGTCAAAATGTTTGGGTGATCTCAGGGTGGATTTGATTTAAATCGAGTTGATTTAAATCACAATTTAAATCATGATTTAAATCACTAGTAAAAAAGGCTTGATTTAAATCAACTCGATTTAAATCATAATTTTTAAAGAGCAACTGTCATCTCTGCTACTCCTTTGACTCACTTTGACTCACCGATAGTCCGTGTTGCAGAATATACAGCCTCATGCTACATAACTAAGCTCCATTTCATGCTGAATAAACTAAATTATTTATGTATCTTAAATAGAAAACTATCTTACGATATATTTTTACCCCAAAAGTTTTTTTATTAAAATAAATTTGATAAAAATCAAAAAAATCCGATTTAAATAAAAAAAAATCTGATTTTTTTGATTTTTTAAAAAAAATCATTGATTTTTATCCACCCTGGTCTGTATGTATATTGCTGATGGGAACCAACATGATATTTGTCCATATTATTTACACAGCTGCCAGTTTTCCATCCCACACCAAAATGTATACAATTGATTATCAATTCCATTAATAATGCTGTTCTTTGTCAATTCTTGGTACACCATGTAAGTATATTCTGTTTCAAAGAATTTAGCATTTTATTTGAGATTGAAATGATCTAGATTTGTACTTAGGCACATTATTTCATTGGTGATTGAAGTTTGAAACAAGAAGTCTTACCTGACTCAAATAATACATTCTTCTGAGATAAAATAAACTTCTTCTCCAAATCTCTGTTAAAAGAGACTGATATATATTTACTTTCAAGAAATACTAAATATAGAAAATGTAATCTCTAGAATACCAAAATATATACTGCTCAAAAAATTAAAGGGAACACAAGCAGAAGACATCTGAGATCTGAATTAATGAAATAGCCTTATTAAATACTTTGTTCTTTACATACAGTAGTTCATACACTGCTCAAACAACTAAAGGGAACACAAAACTACTGTATGTAACGAACAAAGTATTTAATAAGGCTATTTCATTCATTCAGATCTCGGATGTCTTCTGCTTGTGTTCCCTTTAGTTTTTTGAGCAGTGTATATTGTTATTGTACAATGGCGTATCCATCTGCATAACTGTGGAACCTCACACATTCAAGTATAAATGACTGTAATCCCAAAAGATTCTAGTCAAAAGGTTTTGATTTACAGCTGGTTCTTTAGCCCTTTAAATCAACTTTAAAGGACTGAGGCAGCTTTCATTGCACATGTCTACAGAACTGAGCCAATTTATGGTCCCAATGCAACATTTTTGTTCCCAATCTGCCATTAAATTCTTGCTATTGTTAAACCTAAATTCTTGCCCTGAAGCTAAGTCACTGAACGATCAGTGTAAATAAGATTAATAATTAGTTGTTAATTAAGTAGTAGTTAGTATACGGAAAAACTATTCATGCTTGATTAATTCATTAATGAAAGAACCTAGAAATGGAAGGCGATCCTGGAGATGGGTAGGAAGGTATTTTTATTTTTATTGCATCAAACCAAGGTCTGGAATTAGGGACAGAGGAAAAGGAAGATTTTCATCTATTTGCAAATTGTTACGGAACACAAAGCGATGCTGTCGTTTAGACAGAAATGAGACCATTATTTTGGTTTGCTTATTTTGCATTGGGTCACTTCATAAAATCATGATAGAAAGGCATGTA